GCTACTTTTTTTTTTTTTTTAGCAGAGTTTAAAATGCTTTTTTGAAATGAATCCAGGAGTATTTAAGACCAAAGCCAGTGAAGGCCCTTTCCCTTGCTCTTTCACCCCAAAGCAAGTAATCAGTGAATACCTTAGAGGCCATTAGCATCTGCAGTTCACCCTCCCATGGCAGAGGGCAATAATTACTACTACTTTCTAATCTACTTACAGTAAGGCTCTGTGGCCAGTTTCTTCATTATGAGCATGAAACCAAACACCACAATAACAGTACCACCAACACATCAAAGAGCAAGGATGTTTGTTATGAATGAGCAGCTTATTCTAGGAAACCATCTGAGTAACTCAGTGGGGACCCAGGCTGTGCCAGAACAGGGCAGCGGGGAAGAGCAGCTTGCCGAGAACTGCTCTGCTGCCGGCAATTCCCCCATATCCCTTGTCTTTGCAGGGGCAAGAGGTAGACTTGCAGCCTCTCCTGCTGCAGACCAGCAGTGAGGACATGGGCCCAGCCTGGGTCAGGTAACTAGAAGACTGCAGGGGACTTCCATGCAGATACAGCACCACACCTCCTCGAGTTCCTGGCTAGTCTTAGTCCCATGCTACTCTGCCGTTCCAGAAGTGAGCTCCGTCCTTGCCAGTGTGGTTGGCCTCAGACTGCTGAATCAATAACCAATGGCTCCCAAGAAGCATTAGGTCCTCCAAGTCACATCTCTGCTTCTCAAGAAGACTTCCACTGCATATGTTCTTTTTTTCCCCCCACTCCTCTCACTTGCTATTTCAAGTCATCTTGGCCTCTAGTATCACGCACTGCATTGAATAGAATTCAAGACAGGAGCCAAGTAGAAGCAAAAAAAAAAAACCTAGGCTGTGAGGGACAGCACACACCCATGCCAGGCACCCTCTCAAGGCCTGTGCTGTACCTAGGTGTCAGGGCCCTGAGAGCACAAACAGGGCATCAGTGCCCAGCATTTAAGCCAGCATCCAGTCACAACACTCTGCCTGTGGGCCCTACTGCTCCATTTAAGCCCAGATCCAGGTTCCCAGCCCTTACCTGAACTACACTGTGGTAGCATACTCTTCTTGAGCGTGACTTATGGACTGGCCTTCTTGGCTTGACCTTGGACCTGCTTCATCATCTTGCACTATTCTGATTATTACCGGACCAGCAGAACCCATTAACACCGCTCTGCTCACCATACTCAGGACTGCATCCCTTGTGGGTGAGGATGCTGCTTTGCCTCTGCTGTGGTTGCTCTTAACTTGTCTTCTCTAGCAGGGCAGCCCCATCCCAGCTGCCTCCTAGCAGTTAGCTCAGGAAAGAGGTGGGGGGCTTGAGACTGAGCTTACATACTGCTGTGGGGCCAGCGGGCAGAGGGTAGTGGGCTGAGGCCTGGGTGGGGCTCATCAGGGCAATTCATACCTGCTGGTGCACTCAGCACCCTGACACTAGGTCCTTATCAAACCTAAGCTCAAACCAGGCACTAATGTCAAACCATATCTCCTTCAAGGTCATTTATTAGGCTGTGTCTAATGAACTGTGTATAGTACCATTGCCCTTGCTTGGTCAAGGCATGGAGGAGACGGATAGTGCAGG